TTACAGGCTTGAGCCACCGCGCCCGGCCCATTGCCAACCTTTGGTCTTGCTCGTTGTTGATAGTGGTTAAGAGCAAGGAATCTCCAACCAGATTGCGTGTGTTTGACTCTTACTAGCTTTGTGACCTTATGTAAATTGTATAGCATTTTTGTGTCGTCATTTCTTCACTTGTAAAATGTGGAAAATAGTAATACCTACTTTATAGCATTTTAATGATAAATAGATTTAATACATATAAAGTGTTAGAACAGTACCTGGCTCGATTTAAATGCTGAAAAAGTGTTTGCTGATATATTCCCCTCCTCTTTGAAACTTTGTTTCCAAACCTCTGTGGTACCATACAGTGGGAGTTGCATGGAATGTGGAGTTGAGGTAGTGCAGAAGGCTGGTCAAAATTTCACATCAGAGTCCCTAAAAACCATACCATGTGGAAACTGTTATACTGGCTTTCAGCACTAAGTCTAAGACTGCCATACAATTAACAAAGATACTAAAGGGAGTGACAGGGATCTATTTTAGATGCTTTTCCATATGACTATAAGAAATACAGGAATAATGACAGGATAAGGGACTATCTTTAATTATAGCAGTCTCCATGCTTTGCATAGTGAGTGACTTACACAGAATACTCAGTAAATATTAGTTGATTTTATACATACATGTACACAGACACACACATATACACATATGTATATCTGATACAGTGAAAGTGAGCCCAATAAAAAATAAAACCAAAATCTTGACCTGTGTGTTTTTGGTCCACTCATCTCAAGGAAGGAATATGAGATGTCTGGTTGGCAGTCCCTCATAATGGCCAGCTTTGTGAGAATCAAAGAGTGTAAGAAAATTGTCAAGAGACAAGAAACCAGAAAAGAAAAGAAAAAGCAGAGAGAAAAATGAGTGTAACACAGATTAGAGGGGTGGGAATAAACAGCAGGTACTTTGGAGAAGCTCGTAAGAGACGGAAAATAAAGCAGTTTTGCATTGTGGTGTGGTGGTGGAAAAGTCTCTTAGTCCTCAATAGCCCTTGAAAGTGTTTGAACTTCTGTGTTAAAAGCTACTTGTTTCTGCTTCCTGTACTTTTTGAAGGAAGATTATAAAATGATAATAGTGAACTGTTTATATAAGCAAGCTGTATGTACACTAATGTTAACTATATTTTAAAATCATCTCATGCATTCATTTCAGTAAACAGATATGAAAAAGTGTTAGGAAATATTCCCTGGCTCTAAGGAAGGTTAAAAAGATAGAACTGCAAAATGATTGATTTTCTTTGTGACATCTGTATATAGCTGAAGTCCTGACGTTATGAAATGTGTACTGCCGTACTGCACTTTTTTTTTTTTAAATGTAACTTGACCTTTGACATTTAAAGATCTGTTGGGTTTTTGACTCTCAGTGATGGCACAGGTACCCACCATACTCATAGTTTCTCTTTAGCCACAATAGTACCCTTTACCCAGAGGGGAATATTATACTCTAGAAATGTGATGCAGTTTCACAGTATGATTCAGGAGGTAATTAACCATAGCCATGGCCTTTTCTCCCTCATGATTTTTGATCTAAAATCAGAATCTTTAAAAATAGAGAAGTTTTAGGGAAGTTAAGAGCATCCTTTTAATAAAATATAAGGTGATATAATCATGTCTGTTTCTCATGGGAGATTGTATTCAAATATTGTAATAGTATATAATGCTTTTAGTACACTTAAAAATTGAGATATAATTTATATACCATAAAGTTTGCCCCTTTTAAAGTGTAAAATTCAGTGGCATTTATTATATTCACAAGGTTGTGCAACCATCACTGCTGACCAATCCCAGAATATTTACATCGCCTCATAAAGAAATCCTGTACCCATTAGTAGTCATTTCCCATCCCCTTTCCCAGGCCCTGGAAATTACTAATCTACTTCTGGATTTGCCTTTTCTGGAAATTTTATGTAAATGGAATCATACAATATGTGGCCTTTTGTGTGTGATTTCTAAACCTTTTTTTTTTTTTTTTTTTTGAGACAGAGTCTCACTCTGTCACCCAGGCTAGAGTGCAGTGGCCAGATCTCAGCTCACTGCAAGCTCCGCCTCCCGGGTTCACGCCATTCTCCTGCCTCAGCCTCCCGAGTAGCTGGGACCACAGGCGCCCGCCACCTCGCCCGGCTAGTTTTTTGTATTTTTTAGTAGAGACGGGGTTTCACCGTGTTAGCCAGGATGGTCTCGATCTCCTGACCTCGTGATCCACCCGTCTCGGCCTCCCAAAGTGCTGGGATTACAGGCTTGAGCCACCGCGCCCGGCCTTCTAAACCTTTTTAATGATGGTTTTTGCATTTTCAAAGTGTGTTCACTTTTTTTTTTTTTTTTTTGAGACAGAGTTTTACTTTTGTTGTTCAGGTTGGAGTGCAGTGCGTAATCTTGGCGCACTGCAGCCTCTGCCTTCTGGGTTCAAGCGATTCTCCTGCTTCAGAGTCCCGAGTAGCTGGGATTACAGGCGCCCACCACCATGCCCAGCTGATTTTTGTATTTTTAGTAGACACGGGGTTTTGCCATGTTGGCCAAGCTGGTCTCGAACTCCTGACCTCAGGTGATCTGCCCACCTCGGCCTCCCAAAGTGTTGGGATTACAGGCGTGAGCCTCTGCGCCCAGTCAGTATGTTCACTTTTTAAAATAAATGCATAACACCTCTATGAGATAGACAGGAACTTTGTGACATAGTTGTATTGTCAGATTTATTTATGTTTATTTATGTGACCTCAATTTACCCTAGGTTGAGGAAAAGAGATACAAGGGTGGCAAGGCGGAAGTTTGGAAAAGTAAAATTAAAGGAAAAATAGTACATGATGATATATGAAAAATAATTTAGCCCTGTGGGATTTCTAGATTCTATGAATATTAAACTTGATTAAATTGCAACTGCAATTAAATACTCTAACCGTATTTAAGAACTTAAAATTTGAAGTTGAGTCTTCAGTAGTTATAGGCCGAATTCCATTTCAGTGAGGTTGAAAGCATGGCAGAATTGTGCTCTTGATTATTCCAAACTCTTTAAATCTAAGCCTGTTGCTACCATGTGCAGAAGGGGTATGATATAAATTTCTTTTAATGAAGCAATTAATAGGTGTCTTTTGCTTTTGCAGTAATTAACTTACCGAGTAGGGGAGTTTAATATAATGAAAATGTAAAGCATTAATTCTTGAAAATTGTAAGTATATTTGAAATTAATGTATTAGTAAAGTGTACCATTTTTCTATAAAGTTTATACATTAGGTTTTCTTCCATTTTTCTGTAAATTTTATACATTAGGTTTTCTCTTTTTAATATATTAGAATGTGCTTTGGGAATGCAAATTTGTGCCGTTTTTGCAATTGAGTTTGTAGTTGTTATCCTAAGATCAATAGGATAACAAATCACACAGTAGGCTATCTTGGTGCCTACTATGGCTTCTGCCATTTCCTGGCACAAATAACGTTTTGGCTAAATTATTATTTGGTTCCTATATGGCTTTTTGCCTTGATGAGCTGTGCTCATCTTTGAGTTGACAGGAAGGACTTCTTTTGCCTGGAAGCAGGCATAAATGATTGCCTCATGCTTCTCTTTCTTAGGTCTCTTACGCCATTCAACTTTTCTTTCTTGGGATTCTTCTCTCAATGGTAACAGCCCACTGGTCCTTTCTATAATATCATTTGTAAAGGAAGTAAGTTCTAAAAGGGGAAAATTATTGGCGAATGAAAAGAAAATGAGAGGTATCTTGAGTTTAATAAAACTCTTGCCCCTATTCAGCACTTGTAATGGAATCTTTGTCCTTTTAGATGCCCTGTCCTCAGGTTAAGTGGCTTAGCTATGTCCTTAGAATTGCTTTTCCATTTTATCCTTTCCGTACTTGGAATTTTTCTGCTAAATTGAAGTGGAGGAAGTGGAGACAGAGAAAGAGCCATGTATATATTGAGGGGAGGAGGAAATGCTTGGGTAACCAATGAGGAGAGTGGTACCTACTACCAGGAGTCTGGACAGGATTTTTTTTTGTGTGTACATGTGTTCGTATGGATTGCCATATATAAACCAGTATTAGCTTTGAACAGTATGTACATTTTCTTTTTCAGCTGAATTTGTTGTATACATATCTGCTTAGGAGGTTGGCATGGTTTATGACAAATATATGAGCATATGTATAATTCATTGAGTCTTAGAGAGGAATCTTAAAGGCTTTTTTCTTCCTGGTTAGCCACCTAAAACAGAAACTTACCATTAACCAACTCTTGATATTTGGCTTTTACAATTGCCACATTAATGTAGCTATTGGTAGGGAATGTACTACTCTTTCTAGGCATCCCATTCTATTTCTCAATAAACCAACTATTAGAAATTCTACCTTGAGCCCCTCTCATTCTATTAACCCAGCCATTTAGCCTAATTTTGTTCCTGTGGTGCTAGTCCCTCTTCTATAACAACACTCTTTAGTGGTTTGAAGAGAGATCGATCAAGAGCCTCACTACATTTTATTTATGCTAAATACACCCAGTTTTTATTGAATTGTTAGTCATGTTACAGGATTTCCATGATCATCTAAGGGACATATTTTAATTCCTTGACTTGCATGTGTTTTTGACTAAAACCCCAAGAAAGAATACATTTTACATCCTGACTCAGTACACCCATATACATACATACATGAGGGTATATTTTTAAAATAAGAATTTCATTAGACAACATATCTTTAATTTGATATTTTTGCTGTTTTTCATTTTTAAAACACGCTGGTTGATTTTTGTCACTTCTTGATGGATCTCAGTTTGGAACACTGTTCTGATTTGTTCATGCTGCAGAACTGAAATAAACAGTTTGCAAAAGCTGGATATTAGGGGTTGTTACTAAAATAGGTTTTACCTTTAATTCCTCAAAGAGAGTATTCTGATGATGGTTATTAAGTAAATCCTGACAGAATTATTAAGTTCTAGGTAATGAATACAGTGAAACTAAAGTATATGCAACTTTTATTTTTGTCTTTAGGTGGCGACAGACAAGGTTGCAGAAAAGCTGAGCTCTACTCTCTCATGGGTGAAGAACACAGTATCGCATACAGTCAGTCAGATGGCCAGTCAGGTGGCGAGTCCATCTGCTTCATTACATACCACATCCTCATCTACCACACTATCAACACCAGCCCTTTCACCATCTTCCCCATCACAGTTGAGTCCAGACGACTTAGAACTCCTGGCTAAACTGGAAGAACAGAATAGGTGAGTGAGGTTGCTTGGCTTTTTTCTCTCCAATTATCATACAAATCCAGCCATTCATATTTACTTACATTAAGTTTTTTTTTTTTTCCTATTTTTTGGCTTCTTATTTATCAAAGTTGCTTACAGAAGTGTTCGTCTTTTTTGGGGGAAGACTGGTCTTAAAAGAGACTAAAATTTTCTTCTGGCTCAAATAGCTTTATAGGTTTGTTTTCTTAATATAGCAAATTCCCTGAATCCCTCTTGAATTTTATCAGTTTTTTAAAAAATAAATGAAACTATCACTTTTTAATTTTCAACTCTCTGAACAGTCTTCTTTGGTAAATCGTAAAATAATTTAATCCAGTATAGATAACTGATTTGTGGTTTAGAGTGGAAAATCTTTTCATAAATTATTCATAGAAAGCAAAATATCCTTTTCTCGTAATGGGTATTAAATAGGATAGTTTTCTGCTCTGCTAGGAATGCATATTGACTCTGTGTGTTTCCTTACCATGTTGTTGTCAGAAGCTCTTTAGGGCATCATCTCTTTTATATATTTATTTATATATATAAATATATTATAATAGATTATATTATTATAATATATTATGTAATATTTTATATTATACATATATATTGTAAATATATAGTATATATTATAAATACTATAATATATAATGTATATACATTATATACATATGGAAGAGCACCCTTTTGTGCTCAGTCAAGCTATATGATGCTAGTGGCTTAAAATCATAACAAAAATAACTTTTAATAGGTTTTTTGATGTATCATTGGTATAATAAACTATGCGCACTTAAACTGTACAATTTGATACATCCTGACATATGTATACACCTGTGAAATTGTCACCAAAATCAAGAAAATGAAAATCTCCATTATCCCTCCACTATCCACAGGCAGCCGCTGTAGTTTGCATTTTCTAGAATTTTGTAGAAATGGAATCATACAGTATGTAGTTTTTTTGGTGTGGATTATTTCACTCAGCATAATTTTGAAAGTCATGCTGTAGCACATATCAATAGTTGATTCCTTTTTATAGTATTCCATCATGTGGAAATATCATAGGTTGTTCTCTCACCTGTTGCTATTAAATGCCATAAACATTTGTGTATAAGCCTTTGCATGGATGTATGCTTTCATTTCTCTTGGAATGGAATTACCGGATCATATGGTAGGTATATGTTTAACTGCCAAACTGTTTTTCAAAGGGCCTGTACTTTTTGATATCCCACCAGCAGTGTATGAAATTTCCAGTTCTTCTGCATCCTTGCCAACACTTGGTATGATCAGTCTTTTTAGTTTAAGCCATTTTATTAGGTATTAGTAGCTCTGGTTTTAATTTGCATTTTTCTATTGGTTTTGAGCATCTTTTTATGTGCTTGTCATCTGTATATATTCTTTGATTTTTTAAAAAATGTGATTATTTGCTTTCTTATTACTATGTTTTGAAAGTTCTTTATATGTTTGAGGTAAAAGTCTTATATCAAGCACATGACTTTCAAATTCTTCCCCCAGCTGGCAGTTTACCATTCTGTTAAAAGCGTCTTTCAAAAAGCAGAAGTTTTATCTTATTTTATTTATTTTTGAGCATTTTAAGTTTACTCCTTTAAGTAAATCTAAAGCCACTATACATGTCCATGACAATTAGAATAGAAAAGAGACAGTGGACAAATAGAAATAGTTTCTATTCTACTTATAGTGGTATTTTTCTGGGTATCAATAGAAAACATCAGTCAAGAGCATTTATCTCAATTTGTTGGTAAAATGTAGTTACTTTCGGCAAGTGTTTTGCTTTGGTATTTATACACAGACTGTAATGAGGTTGAGCTATCCCAACTTTCTTCTCATTTGTAACACATTCGTACAAACCAAAAAGATGAATCCTACTAGAAGTGGGTCTTTATCAGAAATATGCCCCAACGCAGTTAAGTGATACCAAGAAAATCATTTTCCTATCCTAGGCCTAACATTATTTATGCAAAAATTAGGAGATTGAATGACTATGATCTGTAAGTTCCTACAATTCATGTATACACATCAATTTATACATCATGATGTAGGTAGACAGCGAGACTGTACTTTCTGGCCCCCATGATGCTAGGCGTGGCCATATAACTTGCTTAAAGCAAATATGGTACATGTGTCTTGTAAGAGAAAACTGAAGTTTCTTTCATCTCTTTCTTCCTCTGCTGAAAGAATGACAGTCTCCCAAAAGGGACTTTCCTTCACCTTTGATCCTGGAGTGAAGATGACTTGGAGCAGTGCTACAGCCAGTCAACAGCTGGCAATACTCACCAGGAAATGCACCTTTGTTGTTGTTAACTGCAGCATAACCTAATGAAAGCTAATTAATTATAAGAATTTGATAATAATTGAGGATCAGTATATAGTTAAAACACAAACACCCAAATTTAATAGAAAGGTGATAATGTAGGCTGGGCGCTGTGGCTCACACCTGTAAATCCCAGTACTTTGGTAGGCTGAGTGGGTGGATTGCCCAGTCTCAGGAGTTCGAGACCACCCTGGGCAATATGGTGAAACTTCGTCTTTACTAAAAAAAAAAAAAAAAAAAAATTAGCTGGGCATGGTGGCGCGTGCCTGTAGTCCCAGCTACTCAGGAGGCTGAGACAGGAAATTGCTTGAGCCTGGGAGGTGGAGGTTGCAGTGAGCTGAGATCGTGCCAGCGCACTCCAGCTTGGGCTACGGAGTAAGACTCCATCTCATTTAAAAAAAAAAAAGAAGGATGATAATGTGAAATATGACATCAGTGGAAATAAGTTAAAAAGCAACTTTAAAGAATTAAAAAAAATTGTATTTGTAGTAAAAGAAATTGATTTAAACATGTATGTAGAATTTTCTTTGTGATTTCTGGCCTGAATCCTTGAATGACTATTCCAAGTAAGAGTCAACATTTTTACAAAATTGTCATTCATCATTAAGATATTCCAAGATTATATTTCCACTATTTTATAAAGGACAGTCCAATTTAGCAATCCAGGTTTCCAAAGTAAGATCCAAGGATAAGGCTTCTCCTGAAGTAATGCGACACAACCTTAATTTCTTAGCTGTTAATTTTTTTTTCTTTTTTTTAAAATAAAATAGCGATGAGGTCTCACTGTGTTGCCCAGGCTGGTGTCAAACTCCTGGGCTCAAGTGATCCTCCTGCCTCGGCCTCCCAACATGTTAGGATTACAGGTGTGAGCCAGTGTGCCTGGCCTGTTAGTGTCATTTTTTTTTTTTTTTTTTTGAGATGGAGTCTCACACTGTCTCCCGGGCTGAAGTGCAATGGCGCTGTCCCTGCTCACTGCAACCTCTGCCTCCTGGGTTCAAGCAGTTCTCCTCCCTCAGCCTCCCAAGTAGCTAGGATTACAGGTGCCCGCCACCACACCTAGCTAATTTTTTGTGCTTTTAGTAGAGACGGGGTTTCACTATGTTGGCCAGGCTGCTCTCAAACTCCTGACCTTGTGATCCGCCCTCCTCGGCCTCCCAAAGTGCTGGGATTACAAATGTGAGCCACCGTGCCTAGCCTATTGTCATCTTTAAGACTGGCCAGAGAAGCAGCAAAGTCTGTGACCTTTTTGATGCTTCATCCATGGAAAAGAACATTGGTTTACCTTTTTCTTTGCTCCCCTTAGGTAAGAAAACTTGAAAGCAAATACTTTATACCTGTGGCAGTGATTTATCCCCATCGTTGTATATCCTTAATTTCATCAGTGCAATTCCTTTGCAGCTGTTTCACTATTTTTTGTCACCTTTCCCTTGTTTACTTGCTGTCTCTCCTGTTTTGGAATCAATGTCTTTAACAAGTTTCTGAGTGGCAGCTGTGTAAGGCTTTGGGATTTCCAGTTTTTCACACTTGTGATCTGACTGATGATGGTGTCTCAGGAAAAAATTATTCTCACAGTAAGGATGTATAACTGCCACAAGTTCTCTTTCAACACGGCCCTTGAATGAGCATGGGTAAAATTTATGTCTTCAGTCTCTCATTGATTATAGTCATCTCAGGACAACCACGAGACTGCCAGCTTTTGTGTTCAAGGCAAAGTATTCCTGAGTATCACACACAAATGAAAGAAAATCTGGCAGTGCTGCCCAGTGTTCAACTGTGCCATCTCTCTTGTGCCACTAAAGAGCAGAAATTTTAAATTTTGATTAAGTCACAATTTCAAATTGTTCTTTTACGGATTGTGCCTATAATCCTAGCTACTCAGGAGGCTGAGGGAGGAAAATTACTTCAACTCAGGAGGCAGAGGTCACAGTGAGCAGAGATCACGCCACTGTACTCCAGCCTGGGTGAGAGTGAGGCCCCATTTCAAAAAAACAAAAAAAGTCATAGGATTATGTCTGTCTTAATGCTAGCACTATACTGCCTTGATTATTGTAGGCTTATACTGAGTCTTGAAATCAGATAGTGTTAGGCCTCCAACATTGTTCTTTTTTTTGGCCTATTTTTGGTCCTTGGCATTCCCAAATGAATTTTACAATCACGTTGTTAATTTCTTATGGAATTTAAGAATGCCTGCTGGAATTTTGGTTGGGATTTGCATTAAATCCCTAACAGTATTGCCTTCCTCCCCATGAACACAATGTATTTCTCAATTATTATTTGTCAATGGTATTTTTTTTGTGAACTTCATTTTTAATTGTTCATTGCTAGCATATAGAAATACAATTGTCAACACCTTCTGTGTTAAAAAGAAAATACAGTTGTATTTATTTTTTTGTTTTTTTTTTTGAAATGGGGCCTCACTCACCCAGGCTGGAGTGTAGTGGCGTGATCTCTGCTCACTGTGACCTCTGCCTCCTGAGTTGAAGTAATTCTCCTCCGGCAGCCTCCTGAGTAGCTAGGATTATAGGCATGTGCCACTATGACGGCTAATTTTTGTATTTTTAGTAGAGATGGGGTTTCACCCTGTTGGCCAGGCTGGTCTCGAACTCTTGACCTCAAGTGATTTGCCTATCTCCTAGGATTACAGGCGTGAGCCACTGCGCCTGGC